GATCTCTCAGGCTCCTGGCCTCCACTGTGTGTTTTTCTCTCCCTTGAGCTGTGGCGAGGGTGGGGTGCAGCCTGCAGGCTGCACTTTCCTGCTCATGAATCACCTGATCACTGCAGAGACCGGGGGCAGGCCTTGCTGGGTGCTGCCTGTGGGGAACTTTCCTGCTCTGGGATCATCATGGCGATCCCAGGAGCAGGCCCACCTGGGGGCCACCCTCCCTCCGCACTTGCCTGCTCTGGGATCACCATGGGGTCCCATCTGGCAGCGGGGCTTAGGCGGCACACAAGGGTCCCAGCTGGGGGTGGGGCTTAGGCGCACAGGGCTTAGGCGGCACACGGTCATCCTGGCTGGGGGCAGGGCTTAGGTGATGTGATCGCACCGCCTAAGCCCAGCCACCCAGGGACACACACGGGGGCCCAGATGGCACCTGGCACTGTCCCACCCTGCCTGCAGTATGCAAATTAGCCACCATCTTTGTTGGCAGTTAATTTGCATATAGCCCTGATTAGCCAATGGGAAGCATAGCGAAGGTATGGTCAGTTACCCTTTTTGTCTTTTATTAGATAGGATTAGGATGCTCCAGAAACAGAGTTCAGCAAGACCTGGCTATTTTCCTCCTCTCTGGAACCATAAGATTTTTCCCAGCTAATTTTGTGGAGCTAATAATCTCTACAAGAACTAGGATTCAAGTAACAACAGCTTTCTAGATCATGGAGCGCTCTGTACCATCCAGAATATCACAGATAACCAGAGCTCCTCTGGCACTCGCTATGAAGTCACGACCCGCGCAGTTTGGGTTCAAGGCCTGGAGAAAGGGCTGATGTGCAAAATTAATACACAAGACAAGAAATATAAATTTAGAAACTATGGGGGCAGCCAGATGGATACTTAGTTCTAGTGACTAAGCTCACTGAATATCCAAACCCATATCCTTTTTATTTACTAGAATACACATTTGCCCTTTAGGAATGCAAACAGGCATATCAAAGCTAAAGTTTGGTAAACAGTAAAAGATTATCAGGTTATTAGGGGATTGTTTTCAGCCATTCATTCAATATCAGGTAATAATATGCAGATTTTCAGCCCTGCTGAATATCAAAGCCCCATTCAGCTTTCTGATGGACTTCTCCCATTTGTATATTAATTACTGTTGGTCGTTGCCTCCAGCAATTACCCGTTATTGATTTCTCAATAGATGTGGGAAGGAGTATATGCCACTTGCAGAGTTTGGGTCTTTTTATGATTTTTATTCTGCATCTGCAGACAAGAATTAAACATATAAGAACAAGAATGAGACAGGCAATAGTGGTTATGCTAAATGGCAAATGTAAGGAGATCCAGTGAAAAGGATTAAATTCTTGTATGTCCTTTTTTCAATTGCTCCCAGTCATAGAAGGAATTAGCTTGTAAGTTTGCCTGAGATATTTGTACAATATGCTGCTATAATTCTAAAATATTAAGGGTGGTGTTACCTTTACCCCAAGCTCCAAGAAGGTGATTTTTTATTGACACAAGCGGTGGCAAATGCTGTCTTGTTGGGAGTTCCCTATAAGGTACAAATGGAATTATCTAAGCTATAGTTAAAACTATATCATTTTATTGGAGAATATGCAGCAGCTAATTTCTCAACAAATCCTCCTTCATACCATGAGATGGAGTGAGTAACTTTAACATATAGATAGGATATGGTCCCTTTCCATTTCAGGGTGCAATTATTACTATACGCAGGCCCGTAGGGACTCCAATCCACAAAGGGAAAATTGTTCCTCAGTGGGGTGCCATTCATTTTAGTGGGGGGATGTCTTAGTAATGTTAAATTTTCTTTGCCTCTCCCAGGAGCAAATAGTGATGGTAAATGTATTTGGGCTTTTAAAGGGTCTTACCCATGGAGGGTCAGGAAACATAAATCTAATATACTTCCCCATTTTGTCCCTAGTAGTATTACCACACAACTGATGGCTCCTAGCATGGCAAGAAAGATGTTCTCAGGCATTCTTGGGGTTCCGGTCTCCTCACAAGTTCGCTCAGCTTTCTGGACCATCTTCTTTATCATCCCCCAAGTCATCTCTGGGCTGTTTATCACCTGCCTCATTCTCCTCCCACTCCTTATCTTCAGTATGTTGCCTGGGGCTGCTGCTGTCTGTGGCTGGGGTAGCCAATTGTCTGCAGCTGCAAGGTACGGTTCCAGGTGCAAGGTCCTCATTAATCTGGCCAGTTCCTCTCTTGGATCCATGTTGAAGTTTAATATTTCTTGTGGGAATCCACATGGGCTTGGAGAAATTTTCTGGAAATACTCAAACATATCCTCAGCCAAATGTTAGCAAGGGGTTGGGGCCCTTCCATAAACCAGACTCATGATCTTTCCATTTAACCAGACCATTTTCCTTTGTCTTATTCTCATACCAGTGAAATTCCATGGGTGTCTGGCCATCAGCATTACAAGTGAAAAAAATGTAAAGTAATCAAGGCTTGGTGTAGTCTACTTACAGGTGATTTCTCCATCACCCCCCACCCCTTTTTGTTTTTCAAGTTGGGATTTTAGCCACTGATGTTGGCATTCAATACTTGCCTGTCCTCAGGAATTATATGGTATTCCTGTAATGTGCTGAATTTTCCACTTTTTACAAAATTGCTGGAAATGACAGCTTGTGTAAGTAGGCCCATTATCAGCTTTAATAATTTTTGGAATTACCATGATGGCAAAAGCAGCTAGGCAATGATTAATAACCTGTTTTTCTGTTTCCCCTGTAGATGCAGTAGCCCATGGGACTTTTGAAAAGGTGTCTAAGGAGACATGCAATGCCCCAAGGCATCCAAAAGGAGTATAATGTGTTACATCCATTTGCCAGATATGGTCCCTTATCAATCCTCGAGGATTAATTCCTATATTAGGCCCTTGAGGCAGATGTAACATGCCAGTGGAACATTCTCTGATAATCTGTTTTGCCTGCTGCCAAGTGATTGAGAATTGTCTAGACAACATTTTGGCAGGCTGATGTAAAAGCTGATGAGATTTTGCGGCCTGTTTTAATAAAGCAACCAATTGATCAGCATGTGCATTTCTGTTTGGTAATGGGCCAGGTAATACACTGTGAGCCCTGATAGAGTAATATAAAAGGGATACTGTCTCTGTTGCACAATCTGTTGAACTTGTTTAAATAGTATAAATAAACTTTGGTCACTGAGCCATCTTAATTGAGCAGTTTCAATTCTATTCACCAGGCCTGCAACATAAGCAGAGTTTGAAATTATATTAAGAGGCTCTCAGAAATCCTGCAATGAAGCCTTGTTAGTTTTTAATTCAATTCTTTTTACAGAAGTATGACTGGTTTGGATGACTCAGTCTGAATTCATTGTATGATAAGCAACTTTACCATTAGATGATCCATTAGTAAAAACAGTTAATGCTCCAGGAATAGGTTCCTGCTTAGTATTTTTTTTTTATATAAATAGGGGTATAATATAAAAATTGTAATGATTTGTTTTTTAGTAGGTGACAACTAAGTTCCCCTGAATATCCACTTAGTTCAATTTGCCAATTTAAATCAGTCTGAAATAATATTTCTAATTGCTCCCCAGTAGGGGGAAGATAGATGCATTGGGGTTCTTCTCCTCTAAGCTTCCTGCAGTGCTTTCTAAGTTGAGATATCAACTGAGCCATAAGTTCTATATATGTAACCGCAGTTTTAGAGGATTGATGCCCTGGGTCAGTGTTCGGCAAACTCATTAGTCAACAGAGCCAAATATCAACAGTACAATGATTGAAATTTCTTTTGAGAGCCAAATTTTCTAAACTTAAACTATATAGGTAGGTACATTGCTATTAACTTAATTATGGTACTCCTAAGGCTTAGGAAGAGCCACACTCAAGGGGCCAAAGAGCCGCATGTGGCTCGCAAGCCACAGTTTGCCGACCACGGCCCTAGGTGGACCCATTCAATAATAGCAAGAGAGTTTTTATTTTGGAAGATGACTCCAATAGGACTATTTGTAGTAGGATTAATTTGTCCCAATAAAGGTAATTCAGGCAGTACCATGCTACTTGGGCTGAGGAGATTGCCTGCTCAATTCTTTGTAACTCCTTTCTAGCTTCATTTGTCAATACTCGGGGTGAAGAAAGATTAGAATCACCTCTAAGCATATTAAATAAATTTGTCATTTCTCCTGTAGAGATTTTTAGATAAGGTCTTAATCAATTAATGTCCCCTAATAATTTTTGAAAGTCATTTAAGTTTTAAGGCAATCTTTTCGTATTTCCACCTTTTGAGGCCTAAGACATTGGTTCTCAATTATGGTTACTAGGTATTTGAAAGGCATTTCTTTCTGTACCTTTTCTGGAGCAATTTTTAAGCCCCATTTAGGAAGTTCCTTTTCTGATTGGGAAAACATTGCTAAACTGTTCTTCCCATGGACTTGCTAACAGCAAGTCACCCATGTAATGGATAATATAACATTGGGGATATTTGTCCCTTAGAATGGCTTGAGTTACATATTTTTGACATAAGGTAGGGCTATTGGCCATTCCTTGAGGCAAAACCTTCCATTGATATCTTTTCATAGGCTCTATATTATTAATAGATGGCACTGAAAAGGCATATCTTTGTTTATCTTGAGGTGCCAAGGGAATGGTGAAGAAACAATCCTTAAGATCTACTACTATAAGAGATCAATGTAGAGGTATTTGTGAAGGTGCTGGGAGTCCAGGCTGTAAAGCTCCCTTGGCATGCATAGTAGCGTTAACCGCTCTAAGATCATGTAACAATCACCACTTTCCTGTCGCCTTCTTAGGTATTGTAAATATAGGAGTATTCCAAGGACTATTAGAAGGTTCTATATGGTCAGCCTCTACTTGTTCATGTATTAATTCATGAATATGACTTAATTTCTCCTTGGTTGATGGCCACTGATCCACCCATATAGGTCTCTCATCTTTCCATTGTATAGGATCAGCATGGGGGTGAGGAGACTGAGCAGTGACCACTCCTAAAAAGGCTGATATCCTAATCCTTGTCTTCCTGTGTTTTTTTGGCTTGAATGGGTTCTTTAATGCCCTGATTATCTTTTCCTAAGCCTTGACAAGCTTGATATCCCATCTGAGGTATTAACTGCTGTCCCTTCTTGGTAATAATAAAAGCTTGTAAACCTTCTAAAACATCCCGGCCCCATAAGTTGACTGCAATTCCAGAGACTATATAGGGCTGAAACCATCCTGTTTGTCCTTCCTCATCTTGACACCTTAACACTGCAGCACTATGTTGAGTATCATCAGGAACTCCAACTCCAGTAATAGAGCCCGTAGCTTCTACCATGGACCAATCTGGAGGCCAGAATTCTTGACTAAACACTAACATCCGCTCCAGTGTCTACTAAATCTTTAAACAGTCTCCTTCTATTCTTAAATTAATCATGGGACAGGTTTTGCTAATTTCCTGTATCCAATATATATCTGAGCTTCCGAATCCTTGTGTTCCTCTTTTCCTATTTATAGCTTCACCCTGCTGAATATAAGGTAAAAGCAGGAGCTGAGCAATTCTTTGTCCTGGAGTAATTTGCATAATATGTTTGCATTCTAATATTACCTTGATTTCTCCCTCATAGTCTGAATCTATGACTCCAGGCAAAACAGTACTTTCAGAATATTTCCACTTGTTCCTAAGACTAAGCCTGACGTTCCTAGTGGTACAGGCCACCAAATTCCTGTAGGAACAGCTTGCTGAGCCATATCAGGGGTCAGAGTGATTGCTTTGGACTATTAGATCTAGGCCTGTGCTCCCTGGAGTGGCTCGGATGAGGGAATTCACTGTGGGCCTTGAAGGGTGTAAATCCCTTTTCTAATGGGGCTGGGGGAAGCCCCTCTGGCTGTTTCCCTGTGGCTGGGCATTCCCTATGTCTTGATTTAATGGCTGCCCATTTCTATGAAATTTAGATCTACATTAACTAGCCCAATGATTTCCTTTCTGACATCTGGGACATAAAGAGGCTAAATCTGCATTATCTGAATTGGGAGAAGGAATGCTCACGCCTTTCCCTTGGGCACCACTTTGTGTCCTTTTCGGTTGCCTACATTCTATTTTGAAATGTCCTTGCTGTCCGCAATTAAAGCATTTTCTATTCCCCGCTGTTACAGTGGCAGCTAGTAATCTTGCTTGAAAAATGCCTGATCCCACATTTTGACATGCTTGAATCTTTTCTGTAATGGTACTATTTTTTCTCAGAGGCATCAGGCATTTCTTACAATCAGCATTGGCATTTTCATAAGCTAATTACTGAATTAAAATGTCTCCTGCTGTTTCATGTTGAATCTGTCTTCTCACTGCTCCAGTGAGGCAAGCCACAAAATCAGAAAATGACTCTGTAGACCCCTGCATACATTTACTAAAAGCTCCCTCAGGGTCCCCTTTTGCTGGTAAAGCTCACCAAGCTCTTCTTCCACAAAATCTAACTTGCTCATAAGTCTGTTGCACAAAATTTAGCTGATTTTGCACATCACTATATTGTCCCAGCCCTACTAACATTTCATAAGTAATTTGATCATTCAGCCCATGGTTTGCGTGGGCTTGCTCCTGACATATCTCTAAAAATTATCCCTTCCATTGTAAATAATCTCCATCTAGAGTTATGTGAGCTAGAGAATACCAACCATAAAGAGCTAAGAATGCTTCAGAAATGTTATTCATAATTTCTCCGGTAAAAGGAGTGGTAGGACTATTCCATACTACACTCTTACGCAAGGCCTTTATCATTTTAAAGTCAAAATTTTTATGCTGTTTTATTATGATTCAGGAGCTGTGGGTCAGCTACCTGTATAATAGGAAAAGCAAGTCTCTTCTCCACCATCATGTCCTTTAATCCTTCTTGGATAGCTCTTTGTGTTGTAATGTACCCCGTGAATCACAGAAGGATAGCTCAAGAAGTCGAATTAAAGAGTCACATTTATTGCAATCCGGGACTCCGAGGGGGTATTTCACTCTGCCAAAACTCGAAGTGATAAGATGGCCACAACACCAGGTTTATATAGGCAAAAATCACAAAGGTATTGATTACATCCCAGGGTTTGGAATGAGGAACCTGGTTTCCAAAAAGCAGTATACAGAAGCAGAATTAAGCATGTTAATTACAGTTTTGGGTCTCGGGATCACTGAGCTGACAGAAACACATTATCTGGGACCGCTGGGTTGACAGGAATACATTATCTAGAGCCCTCGGGTCTTGAGACTACTGAGTTGCCAGAAACTCATTATCTAGAGCTCTCGGGTCTTGAGATCACTGAGTTGCCAGGAACACATTATCTAGAGCCATTGAGGAAATTTAGAGTAATTGTGCTGTCCTGGTCTTGGGACCACTGAGTTGACAGGGAAACATTATCTGGAACCCTCAGGTCTTGGGATAATTGTGCTGTCCTGGTTCCCAGGTACAGAGAATTTGCTCTCTAAAACCAGTAAGATCACAATCAATGGGATATTCACATCACAGTTAATAAGGCATTCAATCAAATGGGATGATTTATACAATTCAGAAAATCAAAATAACTTTGCTATTGTTAAGGCAAACAGCAGGGTTAGAGTTGAACTACAGTTTCTACCTCAGATGGTTGCTACCATACTTCATTTGCACAGGTGATTCTATTAGTGGCAATTTAAGTATTTCAGGATCAGGACACAAAGGTGGAGGGGGGCATGAAAGCCACTCCTCCAATTTTTCTTTCTGCTCTTCTTTAGGAGCGGAGGGTGCAAAGGGAGAAGGTTTATTCTCTCTAAAAGGCTCTAGAAAATGCAATACCATGTTCCATAAGGAGAAACAATTTGGAGGCAAGTTTTCCCCCTGCTGTTGAGTTTTTTTCAAGTTCTGACCTACTCTTTCCCAACATTCAACATCTAATGTACCCTCATCAGGAAACCAAGGATTATATTCTATAATGATCTGCAAAAACTGTGAAAGAAGATCTTCTGACACCTCAATTCCTTTATCCTTGAGCATGCAAGCCAAAAGTCTACAAGAAAGTCTCTCCCCCTTTTGTCGAATTCTGCCCCATTATGGTCTGGCTAAAATAAAAGAGTACTCACCCACTTATGGATCCACAGACTTCCGAAGCTGGCACGAGCATTGCACGCAGTGAATCTCCCCACCATTCCAGTGATCCTCCACCTTTTCCAGGTGATTTTCCTTCGTTTTTTGCTCCAGTGAAATATTTTTCTCCAGATCTGTGTCCAAAGGCACCAGATGTGAAGCCGCAACCCACGCAGCCTGGGTTCAAGGCCTGGAGAAAGGGCTGATGTGCAAAATTAATACACAAGACAAGAAATATAAATTTAGAAACTATAGGGGCAGCCAGATGGATACTTAGTTCTAGTAACTAAGCTCACTGAATATCCAAACCCATATCCTTTTTATTTACTAGAATATACATTTGCCCTTTAGGAATGCAAACAGGCATATCAAAGGTAAAGTTTGGTAAACAGTAAAAGATTATCAGGTTAGGGGATTGCCTTCAGCCATTTATTCAACAGCAGGTAATAATATGCAGATTTTCAGCCCTGCTGAATATCAAAGCCCCATTCAGCTTTCTGATGGACTTCTCCCATTTGTATATTAATTACTGTTGGTTGTTGCCTCCAGCAACTCAAGTTAGAATTTCCTAAAACTTCAGGGTCTTAAGCCACAAAAGTCCTGGTTCTATGGTTCCAGGATGATGTGGAGTAGTTTCAAAACACTGAACCTCAGTGTGTCTTTCTCTTTTAATAGGCAAACATGCATCTTTCTTATGAAAACAAATGCTGAACTGATCAATTTAATATTGGTGTGTTGTTTTTATTCTCAGATAAATGCAGTGCAAACATTAATAATTTTAATGGAAATATTTTGAGAGTTCTTTGAGTTGTTTAATACTTGATTATTTTACACTTTCTAACTTTCAGCATATCATTAGAAAAGGAATAAAATTTTATATTCTAAATTCTTATTCTAAACACATTTATAGACTTTTTATAAAGAAACTGTCAGGAAATAAGTGACATATAATACATATATATGGTGAAGCAAAGAAAAACTTTTTTAAAATAATGATGCTCTGATTCCCAAATGCTTTTCAACAATTTGTGAAAGGCCTTGACTTTATTTTTATTTGTAATTCTTTATTGTTGAAAGTATTACATATATCCCCTTTTATGGACCCTCTCAGCCTTAACTTAAATATAAGGCATGGCAGAAGAATTATTTCTGATTACATGTTTTTCTTGCCTTTTAACAAGATTTAAATTGGATCACTGATCAAAAATTTTATTTTGAAAATTATATTTCAAAAAATAAGATTAAATAGTTGACATTTTTCAATGGTTGTCTTTAGAGACAGCCAAATGATATTAAAGCTTGTCCATCATTGTCATTTTGTTCTAAATAATCTCTATTAGGATAAATATTGCTGATATTTAAATTAACCTAGACATCAAAATTACAACTAAAATACAGAACAGCCATCATTCAGAACCACCTGAAAGGTGACTGTATGGACGTCCTACAACTAGAAAAGTAAAGAAGAAAGCACATTGAGACTGGTAGGCAGGGCGGAGGCACAGAACAGGCTGTTTTGACACCCAAGTGTGCTGTTCCTTTTTAAATATGGAGGGAGATTATCTCTGTGGAGGTCATCCATTGCTGGAAGACATCCACTGCCAATACTATCATGAGAGTGCACCAAGGAATGCAGAAGGCTGATGGACCTTGGTTGTGGCAGGGCTAATACCATGAACCATTGTTCTGTTGAGATAATGGTGGCTTCGAGCAATTTCCTGACCTAATAGCCTCAAAGTAAATGTTTACTGAACCTTACTGATCTTTATTTATTGACCTTAGAGATGGTCTGTTTGCCATGCTTTACTGAGGGCAAGATGTGTATCTAAAATTGAATAAAAAGCAGGCAAGGCCAGGTTTCAGGGTGCCTCTCTAAGAGAGAAGTCTCCACCTGGCCCCCCATGCCTTCTAAATTTATATATCTCGTCTAGTGTTTTCATTTGTGTGTCGGCCCCTTCTTCAGATCCTGAACCCCTACCACAAAAGGTTGCAGAAATCCATGAGGAGCAAGGGGTCCCAGTACCACGCCAGACCCCCAGCTCAGGGTTCCAGGCCTGGGAAGAGAAGTACCCATAACTACGGGACATAAAAACCAGTGGGGATTGTGGCTGTGGCAAGGAGGCTGCTGGAATCCCAGGTGTTCCTCTTAAAGGGCCTACACACAAAGGTACCTGGTCCCACTTCTTCTGAGCTCCAGTGCTGGGGGACCCAGACACATATGGGAAGGAACCTGGTTGTCTGGCATTGGGCAGGAACTTGGGAGCATCTTTCCCCCAGAAGGGAG